ATGGGCAATTTTTTCTCAAGTTTTCCTGCTTTTAGTATTTTCTTGGAGGTAGTTTTCTGCAAGATTGGGTAGGGAGCAGAAATACATCTGGTTTATATTACATGATGGCTGTACTTTGGCAATGGAAAAAGATGGCACTTAAAAAAAAGGAAAGAAGAATAAAAAAGAAAAGTTTGGCAACTACAGAACAAAGCAACAATTACAAGAACTATCTTAAAATTCCCAGGATTTGTAATTTATTTTTCCATGCTTGCCTTTTTCTCACGTTGCTGGTGTTAAAGGAGTGGGACAGAGGAAATTCGGACTTTGCGAAGTTCAGATAGCTCTGTGAAATAATCCCCTTTACTCAGGTTGCCCCCACAGCAGCTGCTGTGAACGCGAAAGGGGTAAAAACAAGAAAAAATGGTAGATTATAATTTTGTTTCTCATGTTTCCTTCAGCCAGTAGACATGAAGTCTTGAAGGGGGTCTTTCACTTAGCTGGTCTCATCTATGAAGATGAGGCAGAAGCAGGATTAATGCAGATGGTTTTCGAAAGAGAGCCACATGAGGCTTCTTTGTGATGGGAGAGGGGGAAATTTATTCCAGCAATGCAAGAGCACCTGGTGATGTGTCCCCTGGTGCAGTTTGCAGTCTCTCTTCCCTCCTTCTATTCACCCAGAAAACAGGTTTTGCCCCCTGACACAGAAGCACGAAGAACTGAGGCTCTGCTCATGCTTTGGCCCTTGGGGCAGAGGTGTTGGGAGCCCAGGACAGCAAGGCTGGGCTTGGGCAGGCTGGGACCTGCCAGCACCTTCCCAGAGTGGGGGAAGCCAAGCCTCCCCTAGGGCTGCTTCTCACTCCCTCCAGTCTGGGGAGTGCAGGGCTTCATTCATCCCTGCAGGGCTGGAGCCTGGCAGCTTGGGAGTCTGCTTCCCCTGCACTGAGCTCTGAGCTCTGGGACCTTTTATCACCCCCAGGTTGTTCAGCAACCGAGCTAACTTGAACTAGAACACTGGAACAAAAATAGACTCTGAGTCATCTTCATGTAAAAGCTAATGTGAAAATGTGGGAGTTTAGACCAATGTAAACACATTACATTTAAAACAATTTTCCGATGTAGTAAATAAAAGAATTGTTCCTGATCTTGAAATTCTCAACATATTTTCCTTCTGAGTCATTATTTAATTAGATTATATTTTATTAGACATTCTTTAGAAATTTTAAAATACTGCTATTATACATGCACAAAGGAAAATCAGTTTGAACAATTGTATGTAGGCATTCATTGAAATCAACCACAAAACAGGAACATTTTATGTCAGTTATCAATGTATTCAATATGTATATCTAAAGTGCATTACGTTACAAAAAATATAGAAAGTCAGCAGCACCAAGATACGTTCACAAAATAAATACACCAGTCAACAAAATAAATTATGGTAAATGTGACAATAATAATTGTCCTAGCCTTAGCCAAGAAAAAAAAAAAAAAAGGAAAATTCACAATAACCAAATGTGCAGTTTCAGAGAGCAATGGGGGGAAAAGGTTTTATTCTGAGCATTTACAATATTTACAGGTAATAAATATTTTAATACTTCCCATATGTTCACTATTACAGAATACTGCAATGTGTCTTCCGAATATCTCTTGCTGAAAATGTCAGCGCCTCCTGCAAAGAAAAGAAAGGACAGGAAAACAGAAAAAAATTGATTTTAATTTTTTTCGCTTCAAATGTGTGGACATAGAAACAATAGCAAGAGTGCCACAGACTGTAACAGGTGTGCCTTACTAGTAACCATCTGCCATAACAGGGCCTGTTTGACCATGTCGCAGTTTTAGACATTTATTCAAGATCTCTGCTATGTTTTTCTCAATGCAAGCCCTCTAGAAGCGTGATGACCCACAGTTTGTCACACACTGAGGCCATTGTACCCTCAGAGGAACGGAAAGGGGCTTTTTTTTTAAATTTAAAACCTCATGTCAGAAGATTCCTGAGTGCTACAGGCAGAAGAATTGTATCACCCTATGAAAAAAATGTCAAGTGCTGAAAAGAAAAAAAAAATACAGTTGGAGAAAAGTAAGAATAGTTTTGAGACCTTGTTAATGCTGTGGTGATGCTATGTTAACTGCTGGGGGGTGATGCCATGTTCTGATGAAACAGTGCCATGGGGCTTCTTTGGTCTCTTTTCCCACTGATAGACCACCCCTTAGGCAGGGTGCTGTGGTATGTGTGAGTAAAGGCTGGGGCTTGGAGTCAGCACACCCCTGATAGCATCTCTTCCTGTGCCTGAGTGAAAAGGCTCTAATCCTGAAACTTTCCCTCTGGGAGCCAGAGAGCTTGGTTCTGAAAGAAAGCAACCATCCCATCTTATTACCCTCCAGTTCCTGTTGCATTCAGCCCAGCTGGAGCGATCAGCTGCACCCACTCCTGAGACCTGGGAGTTTTCTAGGGAATGCTGCAGGCTGCTGAGTTCTCTCCCCATGAGAGCAAAGCAGGGCCTGCTCCCCCTGCCATTGCATTCCTTGTACTCCAACATGAAGTTGCACAGAGGTGCTGCAGGAAATGCTGAAGAGTTGGGCTTTTTTTTCCCTTCTGTCCCTGTGAACAGCATATGTTCTTTAGGGATTCCCTGGGAAACATCTAAGGGTGGAATGTGGAGATCCAGGATGGAGTGGGATTCTCTCTGCTGCAGGACTGATCACCAGAGCTGGGGGTAGCATCCCATGTAGCAAAAGTGTGTGGGTGTGAGGCACAACAAAACACAGCTCCTGGAGAGTTTAAAAGGTTTCCTTAATGTGCACATTGAAAGGGAAGCTACATCTATCATTCAGGAGTTTTCTCATTCAAAAGGTTTTTTGGAAATTAAGTAAGAGCACCTTAATTTAATTTAAATGGGAATATAGCTGGAATGTTAATGAGAAATAACTTTTAAAGTGCCTGGAATGGAAATGCTAGCATTGAAGCTCCTTGATAATTAGTTAGCAAAAATATTAGGGTCTGTTTCAGGATATATCCCAACAGGTGTAACAATGGCACATAATTCACACAACATGGCTGTGTATGTGTGTGTGTGTCTGCACTACTCAGGCCTATTTCTAAGATGGTGACATTTTCAATTTAGCCTGGATTTTAGGCTTGGTTTTAAAGTTTAAGCTAAGCCACATCTTGACAGTGGGCTCTATACTTACAATAATTTGCAAGCTGTGTTCTGTGATTTGGACCTAGGTTTTCAAGATTGGCTTCTTCCATGAGATACTCCTTGTAGTAGGTCAAAAGATCTAGAGTTTATATTATTATTGTCCATTTTGTTTTTGGACCTAAACCCACAATTTTGTTTTCAAGACTAATCAGATAGAATTGTCCTGAAGACTTAATCCAGGGTGTTCAGCAGAAAAGAAGCACAGAGATACAGTGAAAATCATGCTTAAATCATTCATCTTTTGCCAGCCTACTGAGATAATTAAAAACTCAGGTACTAGAAGTTTGTTAGGGCTGCACCAACATGTTCTCCACACTTGTGAAGGAGGAATTCCCTTTTCTTTTTTCAATGGGTTCTCCTTGTTTGTTCATCCCCAATTAATTATCTAAAATATAGGTTCTTTTTAGCAATAAGTGAGAAATGTTGCATTTGGATGGACTCCACAGTGAAGGAGCCATCCAGACACACTTCAAACAGAAAGGCTGAACTGAGAAAATCAACAGGATTGTACCTGTGGCTTTTTTATATATCTCATTAGATGAACAACAAAGACAGCACAGCAAGAAAAAGAAGTAACTATTGAATGTTTTTGTAACTAGGATGTTTTTCCCTATATTCTAGATTTCTTTGTGCTCAAGACAGGTGTTATATACTGACCAACACAGTCCTTTGATATCTGTTGAAACCTCAGGTATCTCCTGAGCAGAATCTTGAAGTTTGCCTTTCCTAAGGTGATGAGACAAACCAGTGTCTCTTACTTCCCTCCTACCTGCTACAGCCATGCCAACTGGTCTGTGGTCTGGCATATCCTGGTTTATGGTCTGGGATACCCTGGCCTCTGGTCTGGGTGCCCAGCCCTGGGTGTTGGCAGCTCCTGTAGATGAGGTGATGGAGTACATTGCAAACTGTGGCCTGTAAAGCTTAACCCCAGGCTGGATTTTAGTAAATCCCACAGCTGGTGTCTCTTTCCAAGGGATTTACTGCAAGCAAGTGGCACTTCTCTGATGTCTCTGTTCTGCCAAGGTGAAGGGGAGAAGGAGAGAAAAGGATGGAGGTTTGCTGGTGAAATGCAAACATCTGGGGAGAACTGAACTTGGCTTTGTCTGCAAATATGCAGATTTCCACTCAAGCTGAGATGACTGGAAGGGGATGATTCACTTGGGACATCTAGGCTGATGTCTCCAGGACACCACCCTAAAACCCCGTCACTGTAATGCATGAGGGAAGCATGTCCCTCTCCAAGAGCAATGCTAAACATTTTTAAGCAGCAATGTAATTGCTTCACAAGCTGGCAAAAGGATGGAGCTGAATTAAAAAATCCTAATGGCAAGGAAGGTTTTATGGTGAAAGGCTGGTCTGTGTTGTTTGCAGATATTACTGAGAGATAATTTTTCCATGTTCTCCCCTAAGGTTAAACAGTAAAATGAAAAACTGTAAAGCAAGGGTAGGAAAGTTGCCAAAAAGGGGAGGTCTTGAGAGGAAGGAAAGAAAACTTCGCCATTTTTATAGATACAAAGTCTCAAATAAAAATCAAAGCTTTCAATCTGTTGAGGCCCAAGTATGGGACCAAGATAAGATGTGAGATATACTATGGTTAAAGCAGGAAGGGAAAATTTAGTGATGTGCTTCCTTTTTACCTTCACTTACTACTCAGCTTCAGGAAGCAGATTTTGCCAATATTTTTCATCAATTGTGTCTCATAGGAAAGAAAGGCTCTGTCCCCAGTGCAAAGTGGAAGAGGCACTTACCTGCAGAGAGCACCTTGAGACTGTGCTTGAAGCCACTGCCCAGTCATGAGCACAAAGATCTACTTTTACTCCCAGCGTGAGCCAGGCCTTGGCCTTGGCCTCTCACACCAAGGGATAACAACTTCAGTTAAATACATGGCATGCTCTCCAAAAGAATATAACAAAATTACCTTAAAGTTTGATTATGTGTAGTAACAGAGATGTCCAAGAGTGGGCTCTCAGTCACGATGTCTCCGTACATGCCAGAATTTAGCCAAGTTGAGCGGGTTCGCCTCTTTTTCTTCTCTTGTTCCTTACGTTTTCCAGGCTTTGCTTTCTTTTTCTTCCCTGAGACCTTCAGGGGCTGCTCCTTGTAGGTCTGTGATTTGTTTGTCTCCTGAGTTAGGTATCTACCCTCATCTTCACTGCCAAACCGGACAGGGTAGTTCTTCGTGTTGGTGGCAGGTTTAGGGTTAGGTGACACCTCTGATGTTGCACGGATCTCTGCAGTGTTGACGCCTTCGATTAAATTTTGAAGGAATATTCTTCTTCGTAAGTCTTGGATTGACTTGCCCTTGTCATGCAATAGCTGGTGCTCTGATACAGCCCGTTTGCTAAAGGCAGAAAAGAGAGGAGAGGGAAAAAATGTTTAGGAATTTGTTATTGCCCAGTGTTTGTCCGAGCTCCTCTCTCCTCTGGCTGTGGTGACCACAGTGACCAGGTACCAGGCTTGGAGACATCCAGTGAAGCCAGACTGCTGGAGCAACTCCTGCTTCATCCTCAGACTAGCTACTCTCAGCAGAGAAGACCTAAGTGGGCTATAATTCTCAGCTGACCGATCACACACCACTAGAGCTGGATTAGTCATTGTTGTGTTCTAGGAAAGTATCATGGCTCTTAATATATCACACTTAAGGCAGTAAAAGCAGGAAGGCAGTTGTCAGAGATAGGAAAACTAAAGGGTCAGATAATGCAGCAAGAAAGGGAAAACCCAGCACATACTGGAGCCGGAAGCAGTGTTTATACAGCATCATTCTAGTGATTTTCTTCTGCTCAGTCTTCAAAAACTTAAACAAGCACATAAAAGTACATTTTACTCCTACATTTAAATAAGTGCAATTGCAGGAGTGTAAGGGAAAATATTTGAATTGGGGTGCCTAAAGCACAGGCACTTCAGTCCATGATGAGCTATCCAAGGAGGCAGCCTGAGCATTAGCCACTCCTGTAGATTTACTGCTTGGTCACTTGTGTCCAATTATGGTTTTAAATGCCCTCCTAGTGTTGCTTGAAGTGTGAATTTTGAGGCCAAATTTCTTGTCTGCTTGAATTTTATGCTAACCCTCTTCACTGGATCTTCTTCAAGAGCATCCTGGTTTGTTAGAGTGGTTTTTCCAGAGTTCATCCTGACCTTTTGGTACACTGAGCTCTGTCTTGTTTTCAAGGAACTGGGAGTTGAGTAGCTATCTGTCTTTTAGAGATGTTGTACTGGCAAAGAATGTATTAAACATCTGAGGAAAGAAGATACAAATGACACCTGGATAATAAATAACCAGAGAAAATGTGAGAAAATACATGCCTTTTTCTTGAAGTGGAATAGATGCACAGCTGTGCTGTGAACCACAGACAGAGCAAAAGCTCTGGGATTTTAGCTACGTTCCCACAAATGCAATAATACAGTTTATCCTTCCAATTGCTCTACTCCAGCATGCAGAGTTTGGCTATGGAATCTCTTCTCTTGCATCAGGGTATGGCATGTGACTGGATTCTCACTGGCCAAAGAAATTCCATTCACTGCCTTGCTTGTCCTGTAATCATTTGGTCAATTAGCTGGGTAAGAAGGTTTCTGCATGTGGGTGAACTGGAAGAAGACATGTCATTGAGAGTAAATATTCCTTCTTTCCATCCCATCCCACCTTTTCTTGCTACATTACCAGATTTGAAAATGCAAAATATTTGGGAGTGTTCTGCATGTTCTCTTTCTCAGTCCCCTCAGCCAAACTCTTCAGGTTTATGACTTGACCAACGGTGGAGCTGTTGGAAGTTGGCAATTTCAAGTAGCTCTGTTTTAAGAGCATCCCCTTCATTTTCTGTCTTTGTAGGGCTACATTTTTTGAGCATTGGGTTCAAGTGATGGATTGAAGTGATACTACATCTCTATTGCTCAGTGCAAAGTTCAAACAGCAGCTTTCCCCCGTTCCACAATGAGACTGGAAGATGACTGTCAAAATCTTGCTCAAAATCTTGCTCAGAGGTTTGTGAGCACACATGTAATCAAATATTGTCAGTGTTTTAAGTGTCCCAAAATCAGTTCTGGATGACTTCAGCCTTCAGGACAAATATTTTATGCCCCTCTTCTAAATGTCCATAAGCAAAAATGCAATGTGATAATGCTAAGCTGATCCCATATTGTGTCTTTTTCTTCAGTGCAACTGTGATCATTAACAGAACTTGTGATCTCCCTCAGAAGTTTTTTGAACAAGAGCCATCTCCAACACCTTTCAAGTCTGACTGGCAAGTAAGCCAATAAAGCCAGCACCCTGGGCTCCTCTGTGTGACTGCTTCTGTGCTGCCTGTCAGGCTGTCCAGTGTGACCCAGGTTATATTCTGAGCTTCAGTAGTTCATTTTCTCAGGAAATTTGCGTGGGAAATGTAGTTTTGCTTTCATTCTTCTAGTTCATAGAAAGCATATGAAATCTATGTGCCTTAGGGAGTATAAACCAGTGTCTCATGTGATGAGCAAAGCTTTCCTACTGCCTCTTGTGAACTACCAAGGATAATTCATTCTATCACAGACAACCCAAAGCTGCCTTAATCCTCTAATGTGTATTTGGTCAGCTTCCCCACTGTGACAAAATCTTGACTCTCCAAAGCCTGTTATTAAAGTTCTCTTGATTGAAAACCTATTCCATTTTACAGAGATGAAACTTAAATATTTGGTTCCAGTATACACAAGGCAGTCAGAGAGCATTACAAGATCTACATCTTGAGTGAGTATGCATTTCCAAAATAATGCAGGGATTGACGTGTGAGGGATTGGTGTGCCAAAGAGGGTGGGCTTCTCTTTAAATGTCTGTATGATATTTAGCATCAAGTCTAGCCCCAAATAACATTCTGCTATTCCAGATGATTGTATAACATTATGTAGTGTTACATTTCACATGACTTATTACTCAGCCAGACTTAAGGATTACATTTTGCCTACCGGCTTCCTTTTTATACTCTAGATCAAAAAACCTCCTTGAAACAAAGATGTGGTAGAAACATATCTCTTTGACCTTCTGCCTCCTTCTGCTTCAGTTATTCAAACAACTCCTATGTTTCTAAGTCATGGAGAAAGGCTTGCCCAAGAGGACTGATGTAAGAAGTGCTTCAAAATGGAGATATCAACAATATCTCACCCACACACTCAGAGCAGGAAGGGAATGGAGACTGCAATGATTGCATTCACATATTGGCCACAATATGGAAAACAATATTAGGTTGTTAGGGTTAAGATGACCCACTAGAGGTCCCTTCCATCCTTCTATAAAACACACCTCTCATCCAAGGAAAAGGATCCTGTACCCAAACGATGAGCAGTAAATGCTAAGCTTACATGTGGCAGACACTTTCGAGAGAGGGATGTTGATGTACTTGATGTACTTGACCAGAGCATCCAAACTAATTGCTGGATCCAAGTACACCGTATACATTTGAGGCTGAGTGTCTCATCACGGGGAGAGCAGCAGAAATCCATGACTTGTGACTACTTCCAGATAAGCTGCTCTTTTCATGCACATTCCTCTTTTTTTTTTTCCCCTCGAGAGATCTAGCATTTTTAAAAGGCAACATTCTTCAAGCTACCACTTTCTATCTCAGATAGCTGCTCTTATTTAGCTGTTATTATCCTTGACTGTTCATGTTGGGTCTGATCCTAAATTCAGGAAAATAACTGAGGAGGATTCAGTGAGCTCTCTGTATTTTGCAAAACTGAGTGCCCTTGCCACTGACTCCAAAGGGAGGGAAATCTGCTCAACCTATCTCAGGCTTCAGAAAAATATTTTGAACAGATCTAGGGACATGATTCTGTGATATCTGGAAATAATGATAAAAATATGTAATTTCATTTTGAGGCATTACTGATTTCTCAGAAGTTCTTTAGCAGCTATAGCACTCCTATAACAAATAACATGTCTGGAAACATTTTCTTGGGAAAATTTGCTATTGCTTTCCATGAGATATTTGCCTCAGCGAAGTCTGTAGAACCAGGCCTATGTAATTTTGATTATTTGTGCATGTCTATAATAATGCGCTTCACTATTTTCATCCATTACTGTCTTAAGTTTTTGACTGAGAAAAAAAATAATCTCAATGCCTAAATGAGTTATTAGCTATTAACTCTAGGAATAGCTTGTGGTAATATTAAAACAGGACACGTGTTTGAGTGTGGTGTCTGTGTTTGTGCTATGCCCACAAACAAAACTACATGAATGCCACTAACTGACAGCTGACTGGTTTCCTGTGTGTGTTTTACATGCCAGAGCAAAGAGGGAGCTGAGAAATGTGTTTTTCTGGTTAGCTTACACTTTTCTTCCCTCTGTCAGGACAGAATGGGGAAGCTGGGAAGACCTCTAATCCTGACCTTTAAAACAAGTGTTAGAACTACGCTAACTTCAAAAAGAGAGTATTTCTCTGCAAATCTGATTTTTTTTTAACAACAAAATTTGGCTTAGATCCAGTTTAGAGTTTCCTAGCCAAGAAAATAGCAGCATCTAATTGCACTTCAACTATTTTCTTTTTTTTTATTTATTGTTGAAACTGAAATGTGATTCCTCTGTATAACATGGTCCCAAAAGAAAGAAATAGCCCAAGAACAGCTTTCAGGAGTACAAAACACTTAAACGTTAATGGACTGAGAATAATACTGTAAAATTATCAGCAATAACATGTTCTACACAATTTGCTGTAGGAGATTTGTAATAGTTCTCTGCCTCGTGCCAAACTTTAGGTGTGTCTGTAGTTGCTTCACCTGGGGCTTTTTTTTTTTTAATTTTGGATGTTTTGGGGTATTATTATTATTATTATTATTATTATTATATAAATTTTTATTTTTTAATTTTAATTTTAATTTTAATTTTAATTCTTATTTTAAATTTATTTTTATTTTTTTTTATTTTTATTTTCATTTTCATTTTTATTTTTATGTGTGTGGCCTAACTGGCAGAGGAAATGCTATTTGGAGGTCTTGTCCTTATGTATGTAGTAAAACACTTACAAGGAAACCCATCTGAAATTGTTTGCTGTGTCATGTTTCCCTGTAAGTTATGATCGAATTTTCCAGCACTCTTGCTCCAGCTTCTCTTCCTTCAGAGCTGAATAACAATACAGCCCTCCCCAGTGTGACTGAGGTGTTTCTTCCTGAGAAAATCTGATGCAAGTCCAGAGAAAGCCAGTGAGTTGGAAGTGTGAGACAGCTGCTCCTGCATCAGCAGAGGCTTCTGCACTTTGTGAATGGGTGTTACTATAAGCCAGGCTGATTATTTGGGAAGAAGCAAAAAGATCATTTCCTGAACAGACTGTCTTAAGATACACTATCATTTATCAAAAATATACCTCTGCCTATAAGTAAGATACTAGACTCCCTTGGGATTTTTTCCCCTGAAGTGGCAGAAATCCAAAGAAATTGTTCAGTACTTCAGTGTCATGATGGCTCTCACTTCTGCGTGTTTCCTCTACTTCTATCAACATTGGCTTCATGCCAGAGCCGAGAAATGTCTGTAAGTTATTGTAACACACAGCGTTTGGATAAACCGGGATGCTCCCTGCGAGGGTCCCGGGCAACTGCACAACAATCACCCAGGCGTGTCGGAAGAGAAGCCCCTCAGTTTTCACATCGCCTCCCCAGAACTTTGCAAGGTCAGAAAGCTGCAGAGCGCTCTGTCTCTGCCCCGAACGCCTCTCCTGGCTCTCAGGCAGCGCCAGTGAGCACCTGGGGCAGGTAACCCGGGCCGGCCCCGCCGGAGCCGGCAGCGCTGCGGAGCCTCCCGGGCTGCCTTCCTCCCTCCCTGCCGCCGCAGCGAGGACGAATAAAGGGAAAGAAGAAAAGAAAAGAAAAAGAGAAACTCACAGTCTGCGGCTGATCCCCTCTACTGATCTCCCGTAGGAGGGCACGGAATAACTCAGCAGGAACACTGCAAAACTCCACTGCTGGAAGAGTTTAGCGAACATTGTACCCTCCGGGACTTAAAACCTGCAAGGAAAAAGAGGTCAGTCCGGAGGGACAGATGCGCCAGCGCCGTCCTCAAGGAGTCCCCCTTCAGCTCTACCAGCTCCGAGGCTCTGAAGGAAAAACAAACTTTCTGAGCTCTCGGCTCACTCCTTCCAAACTTCTCTCCGTCTCTCTCCCTTCCTTGCTTGTCTGCCTCTCCCTCCCTCTTTCCCTCCCTCCCTCCCTCTCTCTGTCTCTCGCTGTCCGCAGGCAAGATCTCTCTCAGTATTAGCTCAAAAAGCATCTAGCTCTCATTTCAACAGCGTTGGAGCGGGGCTCAGTGAGTTCCCCGAGCCCTGTTTAGTTCTAGTCCGCTAAGCCACTCTCTCAGGGCTTTATATTACATCAGAAAGTCTTCTTTGCAGATAAGGAAAGATTCCCTAAAGTCAGCTTAGCTGATCGCTTCTCTGTAAACTCGCGCGGACACACAAACACACATAGACTGAGGCGGAGGGGGAATGCATCTCCACATCTGTCTTTCAGTATACCTCTACAAAAAAAAAAGGGTCAGGTTCACGTCCCCAGCTGGCAGAAAGTTTTGGTCTCCAACAGTGATAAGGCGATAGACAAGCGGTGACGAGAGAGACAAGCAAAGGTCGCTGCCTATCTGGAGAGCCCGAGATGCCTGGGAGGAGCGGTAGATCGGGAGGCTCAGGGGCTGGGAAGCATGCTTGGCTCGGCAGGTTGGACTGGGCTGCAGCCTGGGATGTTCACACGCTCCAGAGCAGCCTCTGGGAGACCTGCGGGAGGACGGAGGGTTTTGCAAAGAGATGGCGCCCTAGGAACATGTGCGGAGAGAGCGAGAGCCAGGGCAGGATACCCACAGCCAAAACGGAGACTGCGAATCAGCGCTTCCCAGGCCCGCAATCAAAAAGGAGAGAAGAAAGGGAAAGACCCGACAGCACATGCATTCAGCAGACCCCAAGGATTCCGACCAAGCTCTCCGCATGTTCTGCAGCCGCACTCCTCTCTCGCTCACCTTCCAGCTCTCCCTTTTTGTGTTTACCCCCGGGTCAGCGCCTCCCCTGCCGCGGGGATTCCTCCATCGCTGGGAGCACTTTTCAGTCAAGTCCCAAAGCGCTGCCCGGGACTGCTGCCGCCTTTCCCTGCACGCACCTACCGTAGTTGGTCGCCGTTCCCCTATTAGCCGGAGGGTCGGTTCCTAATGATGCTAATTGTACGCTAGTGAAGGGAGGGGGGGAGCTTAGGGGGAGGGCCGGGGGAAGGACTCGCGGTCTATGAACACAAGCGCTCTTGGCCAAAAAAGTAAACTAGTGGAAAGTTTTCTCCTCCTCTCCCTTTTTCGCCTTCCACTTCGCCCTCCTTCAGCCTGGCCAGGGCCCTGCAAACCGCTGCGTCAGGTTGAGCTCCCGTGCGAGGCGGGCAGCGCGGCGGGGCTGCCGGGACAGCGGTGCCTGGAACGGCGGGAGGCGGCCGGCCAGCCCCGGCCAGCCCCGGCCAGCCCCGGCCAGTCCCGAACCCCAGTGGGCACCGCCGGCCGGCCACCCTGCGACGGAGGCACCAAACTTATCCATCCGTCCCGGGACAGCGCTGGTGTGAAACCCGAAGGTGACGCAGCCCGCCCGCCTCTCCAGCCAGTTTGTGCAAGGAGCTGCCTCCGGCTGCTACAAGGGGACTGGGGGAGAGAGCCGAGGGGCAGTGCGCCCCTGGCCCCCGCCCCGGCGGCTCTCCCGGAGGGAATGCCCTCCACGCCGATCTCCTCACGTCCGACGGCGCGGGCCGTGCCGTGCCGGGCGCACCTGGGACCGCCGGCTCCGTGCCCGCAGCATCCCGGCAGGCTGAGCCCGGAGCCCCTCCAGAGACCGCGGCGGGGGCACCGGGGTCTCTGGTTGTGCCGCTGACAGCCTGATTTACCGGGAATGCTTTCCCAACAGCCTCACGAGCCGCAGCAAAACACTGAGGCGTGCCGGTTGATTGCGCCCTCTCATCCTGCCCCCGAATTAAAGCAGGTTCTGTGAGAAGGTTTAGGTGCAAAGCGAAGCTTTTTTCTACCTGCAGGTTATTTGAAGTTAAACGACGCTTGCTGACACGATTTAAAAGCCCAGATTCCACACTACGCAGGCAAATAAAACCGACAGCATAAGCGCTGAAATAGAAATCATACTGAAAACATTAAATCGTTAATACTGTAAATAAATTCCCTGAACACCTGGTAGGCTATAATTTAAAGTGTGTAGCTAATAGGCATCTTTGATTTACACTGTCCTTTCGACTAATTAAAAATAATTGTGACATCCCCAGAAAATAGCCCCACAAACTCATAAGATGTATTGCTCATGTTAAAAGTAAAACTTCCACTAAATATTTTTAGAATTTCCTCTCCCCAGAAATGATTTTAAAAAAATACACCAAAAACCAACACACATCATCCTTTACAGCCTCAGGAAAAATAAATAGCCTCTATAAACTCAGAATCCTTACGTTTCTTCTCAATTTATCACTTCACCTTTTCCTTGAGTTACAGCTGTCTGTGCCTCTCAGAGATCACTCTGGCCAACAGTGGTTGCTCTTCTCAGCAACTGCTTCCAAGACTATGTTCTATGCTTAAGAGGGAGGAAAATGAAAAGAGAAAAAGAAAAAGAAAAAGAAAAAGAAAAAGAAAAAGAAAAAGAAAAAGAAAAAGAAAAAGAAAAAGAAAAAGAAAAAGAAAAAGAAAAAGAAANAAGAAAAAGAAAAAGAAAAAGAAAAAGAAAAAGAAAAAGAAAAAGAAAAAGAAAAAGAAAAAGAAAAAGAAAAAGAAAAAGAAAAAGAAAAAGAAGAAAAAGAAAGTTAAATTAATAAAAAAAAAATTAAAAGCAATACTTTTTAAAAATCCAGCGTACAGAGCTTTGATTCTGCCTGTAACAGATTACGGCTAAATAAAGGGTGTTAAAAGCAGGTGCTTTTCTCCCTTGCTGCTCTTTTTATTATGAAGAACAGAAGCTTCCCCTAATATATATAGCGAGGGAGACCCTTCTCCATTGCTTTTATTGAAAAGACCAAACTTGTGACATCACTAACAACCTTCCTATGGCTGAGTTTGCCTCTTCTCTGCCTCAGTGGGCTTGGGGAAAAAAAAAAAATAAAAAAAGGAAGCGGGAAGAGAAAAAAATAACACAACCCTACTATGGCTGTGCTAATGCTCAGGACCTGAGCAATGCCAAAGGCTTTTGGGAGACTCACTATCAGCTCATGCACCCCTTACCCCTCTGCTCCCCGAGGGCTGTCATCTGCAACCACGGGCACAGCCTTTTGTCACCTGCCACGTACACAAATGAGCAAACGCACGTACCCGTGAGCAAACTCCTGGTCTCAAGCCTCACCGCAAGCCTGAGCCCTCCTCCGTGGCAGGATGGGGAGAAAAGACCCCTCACCTGGGTCATCCTTCCCTGGAGGGTGCCGCGGGAGATGCTGTCCCGGGAGAGACCCGCCTCCACCTGCAGCATCTCCTCTGGCCCAGTGTTTGGGAGAGGGGAGAATGCCACACCTTTGTGGGGCTTTCACCTGCCGGGGCCCCAGTGACGGCAAAGCTCCCCGCCAAGGCGAGCAGCTTGAGGCTGCCCGCTGTTTCTCCAGCCGGGATGCGCGGAGAGAACCGGCGGTTTTGTCTGAGCCGGGAAAGGCTTCAGCCGTCGAGAGATGAGGCAAAACTCGTATTTGCCCTTCTGGCCAAGCCCTCTCTGCCGCGACAAGGCAAACCTCATCATTTTAGGTTTTCCGACTCCACTATCTCCCGTCTTCCCGCCTCAAACACAATGAGATTTTGGAGGGATGCCGCTCTTGGCTTCTGCCTCCTTTTTTCCATACGTATAAACAGGCATAAATCAGCTTTTCTACGAGGAAGTTGATCCGGGAGCTTGGCTAAAAGGGTAAGTCCCTGTTCCAGGCTTTCCCGAGCGAGGAATAGGGCCAGGGGGTGCGGGCGGGTGTGTGACTGGGCTCCCAACAGAAGCCGCTCAGGAGCGAAACAAAAGCCAGCAAGTGGGACAGGTTCAGCTCCTCGGGGAGGAGGTGCCCTTGCAGCCTCAGGAGGCAGAGGGAAATAATGACTAAATCTCCGCCTGGCGCTCGGAGACGGGCTAAATCCTCAGCTCCGCAAACTTCCCATCCTTCACCTCCGTGAAGTTCCGCCTCTCTCTCTCCTCCCTCTTGTTTTATTCACAATAAAGCGTTTTCGTCATTTCCCCTCCCGGATTTCTATAACCTCAGTTGCACCCGTCCAGGGCTTCGGTTCAGACGGGGCGTTTAACCTCTCCAGTCATCCCAGGGTGGAAAAAATGGTATTCAGCAAAAAAACACAGGCGGGCTGATGGCTGGAGAGTCTGGCGGGGAAGGGAAGGGAAGGGAGCGGCACCACAGAGATTGCTGGACTCGTCCTGCGAGGACCAGAAACACCCTGACTTGCTCAACCTCTCTGATCCAGCGAGGTTAAAACCAGCGAGCGCGGCTCCCTGCAGGCAAGGTGCGAAGCCCCAGAATATTTTTCCAAGGCTCCCAGGGTGGGCTTAAGGACAAGGCTGAAGGGAATTGGTGGCAGGCACGACTGCTCACAGACTTTCTAGCACACACTCATTTTGCCCACGACCGAGCCCTGCTGTACTCTGCAGTGCCCAGCTCTTATGACGGGTGCTCTCCTCTCCTCTGACTTCCCGGTGGCCGTCGGGGATGAGAAACTCCTTCTTCCACGTCTGACATAGTGTTATCTTCGCATTGAGTGAAAGGATTGTTCGAGGAGAAAGAGAAACCCGCTTTTCCCCTCCCCATCAGCAAGCCCCAGACGTTCCGTGGTGCTCCATGCGAGCACACTAATCTCATTTATCAAACAGTGATAAAAGTGGCTGAGCAGAGTTGCCTCTCACACCCGAGAGGCGGCCGGAGTTCCCCCAGCTCAGCCATTGACACAATGCGCCGTTTATTTAGACAATATGCATTTAATTTAATGCACTGGAGAAAGGGCGGGGGTGAAGCAAAAACACA